GGAAAACCTCTTCTCCCTTCCTTCTCCTTTCCGATTTTCTCCTTCCTCTGCTCGGCTCCGTCAGGACCGCCACCTCTCACCCCGCAGACGTCTCCCCACGATTTCTCCGCCGCTCCCCACAGAGCCGTGCCCCTGGCCAGGGCGGGATGCTCCGGTCTCATCCAGCCACCAGCGAAGCCGCTCCTCTTTTCCGAAGCAGCTTCTTCATTTTAGGAAACCGAAGCGCTGGTCCTTTCGCCAGCCTCTGTCCTCCCTCTGGTTTCCTTTATGCCAGGTCTGTCCCCATTCCCCGGTGCCACCGGCAGCCCAGGACGTCGCGGGGGTCATCGTCCTTCCAGCCCACGGGGCTGGTGCCAGCTGCAGCCCCACCGAGCGCTTTCGCAGAGGATGGCAAGAAGGTAACGCCGTATTTATCGCAGCGCCTGGGTCGTGGGTCTCGGCATCGCTTTGCAGGAATCGGGGGAAAAGAATGTTAAAAAAGCATACTTGATTAAAAAGAAAATTTTAAAGGCGAGATCGGCAAAGCATACCAGCGAACGGCAACTGCGGTGGCTCTGGTGGCCGTCCCGCCGGAGAGCCACACTGGCGCTGGGAGGAAAGCACAGCCAAGCCACGTTCCCGGAGAACAATGTCTGGCTGCACGGGCGAAAACAGGGAGCAAAGGAGAAGGACTTTCAGCCGGGTTCGGGTTTTTCTCCTCCCCACCCCCCCCCACCCCAGAACACTTGTGCCAAGAAACCAGACTTTCTTACAAGCTCTGCCAAAGAGTAACTCGGAAAAGCAAGCTTTGTGAAGAGCAGGAGTAAATGTTTGTGCACTAGGATATCCTCCTTTCTACCTTCTTCATATGTATTAAGTGCAATCATTTGAGTCTTCTTTATATTATTTAGAGGGAAGTGTTTTTTTGTTTTTTTCTCTACTAGAAACGACAATATTTATACCTGCCTGAGAAATGAGAATGTGCGTTTGTAACAAAAAAACCCCACCCACCCAAAGCAAACCCAGCCCTGGGCTGCCGCTGACCGGCGGGATGCCGTTTTCAGGCTTTGCAACCTTTTCTGCCGCGTTTGTCCCCGATAAAAACCCCTGTTTGGGGGTGAGGTGGTGCCTCTCCTGCTCGGCGTGTGACGGGGTGAGTTTTTGCAGGGGGTTTGAGGCATCTCGTTCCGTCCACGGAGGCGATGGAGCGGCTGGGGTGGCTGCGTGCTTTCAGGCTGATCCTCCGCGGTTTGTGGGTTGTTCAAGCCCCATCGCGAGGAGGATGCAAAACTCGGCCCCATCACCTGCTTGTTGCGAACCATTTTGCTTCCCTGCAGGGGCTCAGGGGTGAGCTGAGACCCAGGAGAGACGGGGCACGCTGGGAGGAGAGGGGAGCTGCCCCTCTGCTCAGCCCCGAAATCTCTCCCCCAGGTATGGAGGTCCCTGGAGGGAGTCATCCCTCCCCGGCTCTGGGGAAGCTTCGTGCTTCCAAGTCCCTTCAGATGCTTTTGGCTCCATCCCTCTCCACGTGCTCGTCCTGCCGGGATGCTGCAGGAGCCCTCCCCAGGGAGCGGGGCACGGAGCCCAGGGGGGGACCCCGTCCTGCCACCCCCCCTTTCACCGCCGCCTGCCTTCCCCCCGTTTCGCAGACCGGCATGGCCGGGGACCACGGCCAGGTGGACGTCACTGTTGGGTTTGTCCCCAGCTTCTTCATGCAGCCAGGCAGGGGACAGGAGACTGCTGCCACCCGTCACCCCCTTCCTCCTCCCCGAGCCTCGGTCCCTTTCCAGCCCTGCAACCAGCTCTCGGCTGGCACCTCCCCGCACCTTCGTCCCCATCTTCATCCTCACAAAGACCTGGAGCTGCCAGGACTAAATGCAGTCGATTCGCCTACAGCTTTCCTGTTGGCAGTTCCCCTCCCGTCCCCGCTTGTCTCTTGCTATCCCCTCGACCGCATCTGGGGCGAGCCCTGCTCTTAATGAACAATTATTTATTGCTCTGCACATCCCCCCAGGTCAGTCCTTGCCAAAACCGGGAGGCAGCTGCTCACCCGTGTCTGGAGCTGCCAGGACTAAATGCAGTCGATTCGCCTACAGCTTTCCTGTTGGCAGTTCCCCTCCCGTCCCCGCTTGTCTCTTGCTATCCCCTCGACCGCATCTGGGGCGAGCCCTGCTCTTAATGAACAATTATTTATTGCTCTGCACATCCCCCCAGGTCAGTCCTTGCCAAAACCGGGAGGCAGCTGCTCACCCGTGTTTTCCCTCCTCAATCTGTGCTGCTCCAGTGCCCCGAGAGCTTCTTCTGGGCTCTATTAGGGGCTGCGGGCTGGGTGAGCGCTGGCAAAGGGGGCTGAGGTTTGTCCCCAAGATGCGTCGGTTGGAAAAGTCTGTCCTGATTCATCCCAGCTGTGGATTTACCCCTCCTGCCACCCAGCTCCCAGCCTGTTTGGAAGCTCAACATCTGTAAGCTGAGCTGTTTGTCACTTGGTTGGTGTCTGAAAGCAGCTGCTTTGATGCACAAAAGCTGTTGTAGGGATTTGGAGGGGTTGGGTTTTTTTTTTTTTTTTATTGCTCTGGGGCAGTCGCAGCGGAGCAGTGACCGTTGAAAGGGTCTTTCATATTTAGAATTAAAAAAAAAACCCATAGCAGCAAAAATAAAAACAACCCGGGAATAACTAACCCCGCTGCAGCGGCCCCAGTGCAATGCAGCCACTCGTGCTCACAGAGGAGTTTTATTAATTCTTTGTAATTTAACGGCGGGGTTGCTGTCGCTGACTCTGCTGGGACTGGGGCTCCCGGAGCCTCGGGGTGTCCTGGTTGCCACTGCACCGACCACCTCCGCTCCCCTAAAGCAGTTTTGGAAGGGCGAGCTGGGCAGCACATCCTCCTGTGCTGGCCAAAGCCACCTGGTAATGCCTCCTCCCAACTCCTTTCACCAAATATCTCAACTAAACCCCCCCAAAAAGTCCACGGGGCCACCAGAACCACCCCACTGCAGTTCAGGCCCTCTTTGCACCCACACCCACGACCCAGAAAAGGTTTGAAAGGCTGAAAACTGCATCATCAGCCACCTCGGATGTATTGAATGTTTCGACGCGGTGAACATAAGTAAGGGTTGTTGGGTTTTTTGGTGTTTTTTTCATGTTGGAATATTTATATCTGCCTTTTGCAGCGGGCCACAACTTAACCATCTCCAGCAAAAATGATTAAAGTAATGAGAAAGATGTAGTTCATGAAGTTATTTGCACTTGATTAAAAGAAAAAAAAATGTATCTGAACTTTGTAAAAAGAAATGTTTGCATTTTGTATTGTCTTTTTTTAATTATTAAATGGAATTTCTTGGTGTTGTGTTGATCTTTCAAAAACTGGCTCTGACACTTATTTTAAAGGTTTCTAACAGCAGGATCCAAAAGCTATTTTCATTGTTTTGTTCCCTTGGATGCTAAGACAAGCTCTTTTCAGGGGCATAGGGGTTTTTTTCTGCCTGCTCTCCCCCCCCCACCCCGAAGCTTAAATCCTACACACTTCTATAAGCTTGCCAGTCATTACACAATGTATTTATTTATATACATTAATTAGATGCAACATCTCTCATTTTTAGCCCAGAGCATGGAATCTGACAGGGACTAGCTCAGAAGGAAGCAGAGGGGATGGAAAACACCACCTTACCTCGGCCCCAAGCCCCTTGCCGAGCTGCAGCTCCCACTCACACCCCCAGCACCCTGCGTTCCTCTGGCCCCTGTGGCTAACTGGGGCCAGCTGGGAGACACCCATCAAGCCCTCACGAGCTGCTGCTGGGCAGGACCCCGCGGCTGCAGGCATTGGTGGTTGCGGGGGTGGCGGCAGCCTTAAATACGAGTGCACCCCGAGCCTGCTCCCCCAGAGCTGGGAGGCTGCTGGGATGGGGCAGAGGGTTGCATGCAGGATGGCTTTGGGTGACTGCAGCACAAGGTAAGCGTCCCCTCTGTGGGCGAGCTGGGGGATACCTGGGCTACGGCACACCTGCCGAGCAGTTATACCTGCGCTGCAGGCCCTCAGCTCTGGCAACCACCTCATTATACCTGCACTGCAGGCCCTCAGCTCTGGCAACCACCTTGCTTCTGCTTGTTGCGGATGCTAGCGGAGCTGTTCCCCCTCCCCACCCTGCTCTGAACACAGGATGATGAAGCTCCTTCCCTCAAAAGCTCTGATAGTCTGATATTCCCCTTGAATTCCCATCCCTATCAGCTCAATGCAGCATTTCTCGCTATAAGGAAGCAAGCAGCTCTTCATCAAACCCTTCCCAACAAGTTTTGGAGGAACACAACCAACCACACAGCTGTAGGTGTCCTAAAAGTTTATTGCTGCCCAATTAGTACAGGCGCTGGGGCTTCCCCATGGTGCTCTTGATATACAAAGCACGCACATTCTGCCAGTTCTTCTTCAGCAAGGACACCAGGAAGTTGATGGCCAGGTGGATGTTGTAGACGAGTTCATCCTCTGTCATCTTCACGTGACCAACAGCCACAGCCAGACAGAGCACCTGGGGCACACAGACACCAGGGTCACTCATGCAGGTAGAGGCTTTGCGGGGAAATCAAAGATTACAGCGAAGTGACTGACAAAACAGCCTAGCCCTGATCTAAACCCATCAGGGTATCAAATTATCTCATGTTCTGTCAGCTGGACATGACTTCTCCAGCTCATCCATGGGTGTTTCCACAGAGCTCATTGTATTTGGCATGTGGCTTGGATGAACGCGTCTGGTAGCATCTGGATGCCATCGCTGAACAACAGCGCGCTTCCTCAGAGCGCAAAGGTGACTTGCGAAGGCAGCGAGCCACCGCTGCCTCCCAGAGATGGGGAAACCGGGAAGGACGTGTAACACCACCACGCTGGAGCGGGAGCAGACCTCTGGTTTAACTCCACTCCCACACCCCACTCATTACGCAGTGTCGGCATGTGCCCTGCAAACCGCTAACCCGGCGCAGTACAGACGATTAGCTCCAAACTTCACTGCTAAGCATGGCGCCAGCTTCACTTTTTGTTTTGGGCACCAGCCACCAGCCCTTTCTTTCCGCACAGAAGACACACAGAGGCCAAGCCTCTGCCTGCCAGCCTTGCCGAGAAGCTTGTAAGCCAATGTTCCCCACAGGCTGAAGACAAAAGGATTTATGAGCGAGCTGACAGGCCAAGTGTCAGGACATCATTAGCTCAGTTACTTAAAATGCTCCAGCATTTGCAAACTATCACATTTGCTGTGCCCTCCCAGTTGTGCCCCCAGGCCCAGATCAGCTGGAGTCCAAGGGCACACCTCAGCTAGCAGAGCTGTTAATTCTGAATAATACCCATGAGTCACATTTAGACCACTGACACGAGATTAAAATGCCTGAACGGGGTTATTTTGGTTTCAGGGAGCCAGCTCGCCTTGACATCTCTTGACAGCAAGAGCAGATATCTGCAGAGCTGCTCTAAAGTTTACTTGAGTCGAGGCCCAGACTGGCCTCCGGCAAAGCACTGCTGCATGCACAGACCCACGGGGGCATGCCTGGCCCACGGGCCCCACCCTGCAAGTGTCACCCACTTACTGTAAGCAGCATTAATTATGACTGATTGTGCTCAGCCTTGTAACATCAAGATCATCTCCTAATCATATGCTCTAAGATCTTTCAACCACAGATAAATTACTCCTCCTTTCCAGCTAGCAGCTGAATGCTCCAGGTAGCATCTCCCTCTGCTGCAGAGCAGAGCACTGAATGCTTCTCACCAGCTGCTGTTTTAGGAAGACGCTCGAGGGACACCTACAGCCCAGACCGGAGATCGCAGCCACACACAAGTGACCGCCCGCCACAAATAACCCTCATGTATGTAGCTGCCTTGGAAAGGAAAAGCCCTGCTTTACCTTCTTCATCTGAAATTTGATGGTAGATTTGACCTCATCCACTTTGGCCACCAGGTTCTCATTGTGAGTGAGGAGAGAAGGGAATTTGCCGGCTTTGTTCAGTCCTGGCCCCAGGATTCGAGGAATCTGCTTGATCAAGGACTCGGAAGCCAGGAAGGCATCGTACTTCTTAGCTGTGAGGGGAGAACCAACGTAGGTAAGGACGGACTCTCAGCTCCTACACAGAGCTTGAAACTAACAGCTCAGCCAAGGCTGCACTGCTCCATTTCCCTCACATGCGCATTTCCACATTCCCAGAGTCCTGACTAGCTGAATCTAAGCTGTTTTTACTAATTATATTAGAAATTACTCCTGTCACACCAGCCGAGTCTGCCAGCTCTCAGCTTCACATCCTGACAGTCCCACACTCTTACTGTACGTAGTTCACTTCCCTGAAGCATTTGTTGAGCCGCAGGTGACCAATGCTGAACTCTGAGCTCTACCAGGAGCGTCCTACTGCAGCCCGCGCACGTGTGGATGGATGTATCGCACACTGCGGAGCAGCTCAGGTACCCCATGTCATTTCCTAATTGCATAGGGTTCCATGGCTAATTATGGATTGAGTGGGAAGTTTTTCTTGTTTGCCCAAGACATGTACCAAAATGACTCTGACTTTGCAGGGAGGGAAGGGTTTTATCTCTTACCAAGTGGTAACAAGCAAATTTCATTCTATTCATTTAAGTACTGCAGGACTAAACTTTCGCCTCCAGCTTTACTCAGCTTTTGCTGCACTCCAGCGCCCTGGCCAGGCAAGTGAGGAATACCAGCTAAGGGTGAAACTTTCAGGGAGACAGGAATGTTTTCCTGTACCCCTTCCTTCCGGAGGAGGGCACTCAACCTCACTCCAGCAGGGCTGACCTGTCAGATCTTCTACACCAGTAACAGGTTGTTGGCTCTTCTGGGTAGTTTCTGGACCCATTTCTGCACTTCAGGCTGACTCTCATTAATTTTCTATTCCCATGACATGGAAATCTGATCACAGGAAAAAGAACCATCCTGCTTACCCAGCCCTCCCAAGTCAGCCAGGGTACTCGGAGCCCGATCCACACCACCACTCACCCAGCTTCTTCACCAGCTTCTTGTTTTTGTTGAGTTTCTTCAGAGCTTCTATGTCCATGTGAGGGATATCAACCGCTTTGGCCTCATCGCAGTGCTGCTGGTCCCCCAGCAAGCAGACCGAGAACTTGGGCCGTGGAGTTGACTTCAGCCTGGGGACAGAAGGTCCAAATTACTATGAACCGCCAGCGCCACGCACACTTCCATGGGAGCCATCACGGAGATACCTTACCACAGTGCCTGGGAATCTTCCTCCACAGCTTCTAACCTGCCTTCCCCAGCAGGTCGGTGGGGACAGCACAGGGGCCTCCCACACCTCCCCTCATGTTTTAAGACCCAGGGTGGGGTCCCGTCCAGCCGCACCCACAGAGCTGGGGTGGGTCTGAACTACCCGAGCAGTTCGGCGCTGCGTCCTCCTGCTACAGCAACCAGCCTGCTCTGGGGTGCAGGGCCCGGCGGCAGCGGGGGGGACGCAGGCTGAAGGCTGGGTGGGAGCAAGAGGGTGCCGAACCTGACGGTGCCGGAGAACCGCTTGTCTTTCTGCGGGTCATAGTTCTTCAGGCTGATCTGCAGCTCTACAGTCT